GAGGCTAATAAGTCAAATGTAGCCACCTGTACCCAGTTTATTTTTTTAAGGCAAATGAGTACAATGATGAGTACAGAGTTGCATTAATCTGTGACTATTATATCTGCCTGGAATTCTGTTTGAAGAAACTCTTGTACCCTGGGCAATCACTTTGTGAAATAGTTGACTTTGCTCCAGCTTGGAATCTTCCCTATACCCCTCTACCACACACACATTAACAAAATCTACCCTATTTGTGTATCGCTCAGCTGTAGATCCTCAAATCATCTTTGAATTGGTGCTGACACTGTCCTTCCTTCTGGAGAGTGGCTACTTTTGTTCCCCATGGTCCCTGTGTGTGTGTAGCGAAGTAGCCACCGCTCCAAGCACACTCCTGTGATGGACTACAATCTTATGTTTTGTTTACTGATTTGTAGGGATGTCCCAATGCCACTTTTTCAGGCCCAAGTACAAGTACTTCCCCTCATGTACTTGCCGATACCAATTACCGATACTTTTTCTTAAAGGGACAGGTGACTTTAAATGATCCATAGTACAACTACATGTTCTGTACTATGGATCCAGTACACTATAGCAATAGATTTACAGCCAGCCCCGTCCCAGCTTCCCTCACTCACAGTTTCACTCCGATCCCTGTTGCCTCATGCGGTGCCTCTTGTAGTCGTCGCTGGGCAGGATCGTTGCATCGCGTCTCGGTGCTCAGCTTGTGGGAGACGCTCACAATTCTGCCCTGCTAACTCCGATGCTAGCATCGGTATCGGGACATCCCTACTGATTTATATTGAGATTATAGTCCATCATGGGAGGGAGCTTAGAACGGTGGCGGCTTTACAACATACACAGGGACCATGGGGAACAAAAGTAGCCCCCCTCCAGAAGGAAGGACAGTGTCAGCACCAATTCAGAGGTGATTTGAGGATCTACAGCCGAGTGATACACATATAAGAAACATTTTTGTTAATAGTTAAGGTACTTGAATGCAATTTTAAGATTTAACTCCTGAGTTTAGTGTCACTTTAAGTCATGTGTGAGCTTATGGTGACTTAAAAACACACACAGAACAGCACACTTTTCCCCCACGAACATCCCTGACCCTACTCATTTCACCATAGCCTCTGACTTTCCTGCAGCATTCTCCATAAGAGAACAATTACAACATGGAAAGTAAGATTTTGCCAAATTTGCAGAAAATAAACCATAAAAAGCAAGAGGGTGATTTCATCCACTGGCAACTACTGAAAATACCAGCTTTGGGTAGACTGATTCGTCAGCAGTTAATTAGTCTTTTCTTTCCTTTTATATGTTTTTTAGTTTTTTTCCTAGATGTCTGCCTTATTTTTCCAAACTTATTGAAAGTATTGAGAAGGCAGAGAAATTACAGGTCTATGTATTTTTTTTTCCAACGGCTTGCATGAACTCATTCTCAAAATGGCTCTCTGGTTTATATCATAGGAATCAGACTATTTGCTATACCTGTACTGTGCAGTGTTATCCTGTGCAGTCCAGTCTGTTCAATGTCACTGGCTTTCCAAAGAAGAAATAAGCATTGTCCATGTTCCATAACTTTCTAAACACAGATTTATATAGCACTATATTAATGCACATTTCTATTTATGCTTGTACAAGTGTATTTACATAATAACATAGGTTTCTGTGAAGTGCTGGGTTATTTCCAGTGTCATCATGTTGGCTAGAGCTAAACAAATTAATTTATGTCAGCTTGAGGACACAAACAAATATACATAATGTGTGAATTTTTTTTATTATTATATCATCAGATATTCAAAAGATTACAATTACTGTTACAGACACAGAAGACTTAAAGGAGAACTATGGGGTCAGTGCTTTTCCCCATAGTTCTCCTAAGGGTCACGGGAGGACATAAACTAGCGTCCTTCTGTGACCCAAAGCTCAGTATGCTCACTTCCCGATCTATTGAGCCAACGTTTCTTGTAACACGTCGGCTCGAACTATGAGGTTGAGTGAAAATCTCTCACCTCATAGTTCTCCCTTAAGGGGTTTTTAAAAAACTTTTTGTAGGCTTTTTTATGCCTGGTGACAGAGGGCAAAACCTTTGTCAGGTTTAATTCTCCCTTGTGGAAATTTCCCCTATATTCTGGTCTCGGTGACAGGTATAGCTATGACAGGAGTTGAGTGGAAATCTCCCAATCGTGTACACACACATAACAGTCAAAACCTGAAAATCTGGAGGTTCTAATGCTTTGCCCTGCAATATATTTCTTTACATGTTTGCTCAAACACTAACATTCTTCATGTTTTCGAACAGCTCCAACTCTCAGCTTGGCTTCTCTGAACTTCCTGTCCAGTACAAGATTTCAAGGGACAGAGCACTCTCCAGCTGCTGTCCATCTACCAGCTCAGAGAACAAGGGGGGAAGGAGGGGTGGGGAGCAGGTGGGTGTCTTGGTTTGCTGTGTCTTTGTGTTCGGGGAGACACACACAGCTTACTAGCACACGCAAGGGTGGCTTCATTGGACCCTGGAAGGGAAAGGAGCCACCCTAAAAACAGGATATCAGGCCCAATGTTCAGAGGTCCAGCTGATTCTGCGGAAAGCTAAAAGTTTTAAGCATCAATGAGCAGCACCCATTGTAATTGATTTCATCCGCATTTAAAAAAACGTAAAAAACTTTTAACTTTACTATTACTTTAAGTGCAGAGTGTTTTAGCACATCAGTGCTCAGGTTTTGGCGTTAGATTAAATAAATCTTTTGTGTAAAACCTACCACCTGACCTCCATATACTCACCTCCCCAGGGCTTCCCTGTCGCTCCTTCCTCTTTCGCAGCCACCACCGAAATACCCTGTGTTGGATGATGTTGGACTCTAGTTTGGCTGCATCATGGGTGGAGCTTTTAATTTATTTTCTGTTTTTATTCACAATATTGTTATTCCATGATATAACTCAAAGGGATGACTATACAGAACATCCTTATACTTTTCCTTGTGGTTGTATCAAGTCACTTTCACTTAATATGTGATATGTTCCTTCTTTAAAGTATTCATTTAGGATCCTATAATTGTCTAGTTTTCAAACATCCCATATATGCTGTTGAGAACCTCAGATGTAATTTCCACATTTAGGGCTCATTCACACCATCTGCATTCGGGCCGTGCTGGCCGTTTTTTTCCAGTGCCGCCTGAACACAAGACCAGCAATTGGCCTTGTCATGAATGGTGACAGTTCACACTACCATGTTCCGGTGGTGTGTGTTTCAAAAACGTATGGCATGTAGTGCATTTTTTAAAGAGGACCTGTACACTCAAAAATCAAATTCTACCAATGAATCCCTCTATGTAGAATGATTAATAATAACATAAACATGTCAGGTGTAAAATGCTGTGATTTTTAAATACTTACACTTGCAGAGCATTCACTTCCTGCTTTAAAAGGGCAAAATGACTTTAGTCTGCCAAAGCAATGCACACTGGGATTGCCTTGTCATCAGCAGAGCATTGCTGGGAAATCTCATCTGTAATTTCACGACATCGCAGGGAAAGGCATTTTCCTCCTCTTAGATGATGTGCTTGGTCACATGTTCTAGTCACATGTGCCAGAAATCCAGGAAGTAAAATGAGAGCTAGTAATCTGCCCTTAGTAAACATGGCCACTGTCAAATTACTGGGGTATGCAAAGAATACAAAGCCTGCAATTATCTAGAATTATGTGTTTGTTATTACTGAACACTTCTAAAGGTGTATTTGTTGTTATTTTAAAGCTACAGGTAAAGGTTAATTTTAGGCGCACCACTGTGAGATGCGGTACAACCGCATCACACTGCGGTGAGCCCATAGAACGTAATGAAATGTCCCTTTAATAATACATTTCAATAAGGTTCTAACAACAAAACAAAACAGTGCAATGCGGCTCGATCAAGCACATCAGCACTGTACGGGCACAGACACACCAGCAACCATGCACAGAAAAAGTGTAGCGTGTAAAGATTATAAAGAAAACCATTTAACTACTAGAAGCCAGTCTAAAGAATATTTTTTCTTCACTGGCCTAAACACATACCTAAGTAATAATAACACAGACTACTGTCTTCAGGGTCCCCAGGGGACGCATGGTTGGGCACCAGGGGCTTACAAGCACCTTCTGTGTGTTTACATTAGGATGCTGTCAGGCTGCCAAGATTCTGCTAACATAGTTACATAGTCAGGTTGAAAAAAAGACACATGTCCATCAAGTTCAACCTATGGACATAACAGGTAAAGGGGAAAGATTTTAGTACCTGTGTTGTAAATTTCAAAGATACTTAGCTCCACAATACCTTTAGCTACAGAGGTGAATGAGGGCTTGTTTGAAAGTGCTTTTACTACTTGTTCAGAATCTGTAAGTACTTTAATGCGCGTAGTAGTCCGGGTATCAGTTCACTTTCACTTTAAGCTAATGTTTGTATTTCAAAATTATTGGACCGAGACAATGCTTAGTAAGGATACACAAACTCCCACATTTTCTGATGTATGGAATCGTCTATTGACTCCTTGCCGACTATTACAGAATGAAAAATGTATGCAATATTTCATCTTGACCCCATGTTATACTAGGAGAATGATCTCTAAAGACCTTCTGGAGTTCAGTTTAATAAGAAATTAAGAGCTTACATTGGCTAATTAGCTATTGGCAAATAGCTGTTTCAGTGAAAAAAACAACCCAAAACATGAATAAATGAATACAAATGGCACCATTTTGTTTAATAGTCATGTGTATGAATTGACATTTTGTTGCTAAAATTACCATAAAAAGTAACTAATATATTTAAAAAAGCTTGCTCATCTAAATTACATTATCAATTAAAGCGAACTTATGCTTTACCCATGGTATGAGACCCGTAAACAAGTACTGGAAAATGCAAATTGTGTTATTTTGTGGCACTGACACTCATTTTATTTAGTTTTTCAAGAATTTTGGCTTTTATGCACATATGAAGACAACTACAGTCTACATGATAACTGACTGATATTTTCCATCTTTTACAGTTTCTTTGCCTTAAGAATATCCGGACATTCCTATCTGTGTGCTGTGAAGCTTTCAGTATGAAGAAAAGTGACCTATTTGAAGCGTTTGACTTATTTGATGTACGGGATTTTGCAAAGGTATTCAATATATATTTATATTTATTACAATTTCCACTGAGTGTGATACAAGAGGGTATGGGTTATAATTATTTGTCATTGTGTATTTCCAGCATGAAACATTTTTTTATTTTATTTAGATCTTCACAATATTAACCCATTCATGACTGAGCTTGTTTCTAGTTTCTGTTCATAAATGACTGACACACTTTTGACATTTTTGCTGTGTGATTCTTCCACGTCAGTAATATACTTTCTTACAAAGTGCACCCACACATATTATATATTGTTTTTTAGAGAACAGAAATGGCTATATATTTATATCATATATGTGTACCTAATGCCACACTTAGGACAAATAAAATATAAAAAAAAGGAAAAAACATAAAGAAAACACTTTTTTCCCCAGTTTTGATTTGTAGTATTTTTTTTTAGAAAAATAGCACAACTAAAAAAATGCATTACATACATTAATTTATTTGTCATTCCTAGGATTTTAGACATTTTTCTGTACTTCTCAGCCTAAAACTAAAACCTAACATTTTAATCTTTTTTCTCTAAAAGCTAAAAGTGGTCACCTGGCATACAATGTCACTGTCACTAAGTGTCACACTTAGTGACAACGACATACTTTGAACATCACTGTCATGAGGGAGTTAAAAAAATTAACCCCTTAGGGTGAAAAACAAATCTGCAGCTAAGCTGCTGATTTTCATTGTAAGGGATTCATTTTTATATTGAAGATAGTATAAAAATATATTTACATGTAAATTTTATTTGTTACATTTATTTTTATTTTTTTTACACTTCCTTGTTTTTTTTTACACTTTTTACTATTTCTTTGAACATTTTTTACATATTTTATTTATTTAATTATATCAAGCAGTCATTGTGACTTAATCTTACTATTACTGCTCGATAATTTAATTAATTATTTTTTGGTTATTATTAGGCTGCTTCAAACTTAAGAACAACCAATAATAACCTTAGTGACACTGATCCTGCAGCATTTCAGGCTCAGATGTCACTGAAGGTTTTCTGATCGTTCCAACAACGATCAGAAAACTGCAACATTGTTTCAGGAATAGAAACATGTAGCTAAATGTTTCTATTGCTGAAAGTTTAGAAAAAAAAGCCGGTATACATTGGGATTTACCTATCTGTACCAGCTGTCAGAGTGATGGCAAGAGCTGCCAATGCGCTTCTGCTCTCGCTGTCAGACACCCGATTCCTGATAGGGATTGGGTGTATGAAAAAGCTTAACTCTTTAATTAATGGATGCCTCTATACTAAGGCATTCATTAATTAATGGTAACCGCTGATGTTCAGTGGTTACTAGCATTACAGAGCCGCAAATAACTGATCACGTACAGTGTAGGTGAGCAGTCATTTGGGCACTTTGTGGCGGGACGTTCAGTGTATGTCTCCCATCACGAAGGGGTTAATATAAACAGGTTTTAATTGATAAACAGGTTGAAATGTTGAAAAAAGACTCATGTGAACCTAGTTGACAAAAGTTGTGAGAAGGAGAACTACAGTTTTGGACCAATGGAAGGCCAAACCCTGAAACAATTATTGCCCAGTTATCCACACACTAGGAAAAAGAATGATGTATCTATAATTAGCATAGAATTTATATTTGTCATTAGCACATATGTTAGGTTTGCTGAGGTTATAGATTCTTATAGGGTACGATTATAGATACTTATAGGGTATTATTTACCCCGTTTATGTCAAATAACTTATCAGATTCGGATTATTTAAAAACAAAGCAGACGCTTTACCTGAAACTGAAAGTGAAGGGAGTGATGCTAGGGGGAAAATGATTGATTTAGTAAATTCTTAGTTTATAATACATTTTCCTGCATGAAAAATGTCCAAGGCAAGGCAACTCATTATGATTGTAAATTCTATGAGGGGAATTTGTCAAAACTAGAACAGACACAATCTTAAGCAGCTGTGCACAGTAATCAATCATCTTCCCTCTTTCATTTTCAAATCTTAACTGAACAAACTGAAGAGAGAAAAGCTGATTGGTTGCTGTGGGCAACTGCTCCAGATGTTGTCTGCTCCAATTTTGATAAATTCCTCTCTATGTATTGTATTTCTTGAGTTCTTCCTTGTACATGTGCATACATTTTAAGCTTGGTGGTATCATTTACTTTCATCCTTTACATTTTCCTGTACTTGAAAATGTAGTATGCACTATAACCACTAATAAATGCATGTATCTTCACATTGACCACATATTTACATCCTGTTTATTCATTCAAGCGTATCTCAAAATATCGCCTCTCGCTATCAGAAGCAAGTCCACTAACTATAATTGAGCTCTGAATCTGTGAAATATGGCAGATTATATATCATTTAAAGCAGTGGTTCTCAACCTGTGTAATCTTAGGACCTACATTTAAAATTGGTCATTAAGTCATGACCCAAGTCGCAGTAGTGCATGTTACGGTATGGGCAATCAAACTGTGGGCGGGAGGTGCGTTTGGGGTGCCATTCAAATGAATGGCAATGCAACGCATCTCTCACACCAGAATGCACGGTAGGTGCGATTGCATGGAACAGTGCATTATTCGCACAGGACTGTGCGAATAATGCACTGTACTAGTGTGAACGGGCCCTCAAAAACACGCAACCACAGACACAATCTCACACACTCACAGACAATCTCACACACACATACACACTCCCAAAAAACACAAATGTTTTTTTTTTTTTTAAGATCCACACTATGGTCTCCATACCTTACGAGAACTGGAGTGGATCCTCAGCCTGGGGTCCAGTGGGGGCTGCTGTGCTGTGACGGAGCTCCATCCATATGTGCAATGCTTGCACAGCTCCCTTGCATGCCCTGTTGAGGTGTAATGAACTAGAATGTGACGTCACTCTGGTCCAGGCACCTCTACAGGGCACACGAAGGAGCTGTAAGCAATGCCACCCCCAGCCCACCCCACCTCAAGCTGACACCTGGTGCTGGGCAGCATATTGTGAATGGCTGTTCGGTGCGAGAACTGACAGTGCTGCGCTAGGGGGAGACTGAGGAGCCTCTCACCTAGCACAGAGGAAGGCACACAGACCCACTGCACATGAGGTCGCGACTCACTTTTGGGTCACGACCCACCTGTTGAGAACCTTGAGTTCCTAGGTTGCCCTGAAACTTATGGTACTCTCTTATTCAAAAGCCAATGCTTTCTATCAGTTTCAAAAGCTGGTCCAGCCCCTCCTGTCTCCTATTCTCTCTTATTATCCAAGAAGGCTTCATAGTGATAGGCCAACAGGAAGGGACAGACTGGCCCTCAACTTCCACAAAAGTGTCGGAATTTGTATAATTGAGATTCTCTATAAACGGTTGAGTACCCAACTCCCTTTCATAATACTTAGTAGACCTGACCTGTGAGCAGTACTCAGTGTGGCTGATCGTTTGGATCAAGCAGAAAGTAAAATCACTGCAGCGAAGCAGAAGGGTCAAGCCAAACCGAGTCAAAATAACAGATAACACTTCAGGTACAGGATGCAGGAACACAGGGAAGCGGACAAATTGACAGCAAAGGAGGTCTGCTAGTCACAGCCTTAAATAGGCCAGAGGGCGCCAAACATTCAAACAATACGTCGGCACTTGAACGCGCGCACATATGCGCACACGTTCACGAAGAGACGATGCACCTGATACAGCTCTATGAGCTGCACCAGTCACATGCGCATGTGCAAACCGCGATGTAAGAACTCTGGCTCCAGCTCTGGCTTCCTAACAGGTGGATGGGCTTTTCAACTGCCTTCTGATACCTGGGTCAGTGGTTGATGATGACTAAGACATGGATAGGCAACCTCTGCACTCCAGCTGTTGGGGAACTACAAGTCCCATTAGGCATTGCAAGACTCTGACAGCCACAGGCTGGATTTACAGAGCAGAAGCATGTTGTTTTACCACAGCTGGAGTGCCAAGTTTGCATAACCTGGTCTAAGCCATGTCAAAATATAAGTTCACCTTATGTGTCATCACTTTCTTCATTATATGACGGTGCCCTCATTGTGACTTCGGGAGGAGGCAGCTTTTGGTCATCGAGCCCGTGTTAATGACATTAAACAGTGTTCACTAATACGTATATACTCGAGTATAAGCCGCCCCGAATATAAGCCGAGGGTGGGAAATGAGGAAGCTACTGGTAGATAGATACCAATAAAATTACATTAATATTTATTTAAAAGAAAAATAACCTAGCTCTGCAAGTGGAAAAGGGGGTACAGGGCTACATACAGATCATTTAATACATTCATGTTAGTATCATTGTAAATGTATTGTCTGCACTGTATTAGCAGTATATACTCTATATAGAGTATATACTGCTAATACAGTGCAGACAATACATTTACAATGATCCTCTGCTAACATGAATGGGTTAAATGATCCGTAGTACATGATATGTAGCCCTGTACTATGGATCATTTAACCCATTCATGTTAGCAGAGGATCATTGTAAATGTATTGTCTGCACTGTATTAGCAGTATATACTCTATATAGAGTATATACTGCTAATACAGTGCAGACAATACATTTACAATGATCCTCTGCTAACATGAATGGGTTAAATGATCCGTAGTACATGATATGTAGCCCTGTACTATGGATCATTTAACCCATTCATGTTAGCAGAGGATCATTGTAAATGTATTGTCTGCACTGTATTAGCAGTATATACTCTATATAGAGTATATACTGCTAATACAGTGCAGACAATACATTTACAATGATCCTCTGCTAACATGAATGGGTTAAATGATCCGTAGTACATGATATGTAGCCCTGTACTATGGATCATTTAACCCATTCATGTTAGCAGAGGATCATTGTAAATGTATTGTCTGCACTGTATTAGCAGTATATACTCTATATAGAGTATATACTGCTAATACAGTGCAGACAATACATTTACAATGATCCTCTGCTAACATGAATGGGTTAAATGATCCGTAGTACATGATATGTAGCCCTGTACCCCCTTTTCCACTTGCAGAGCTAGGTTATTTTTCTTTTAAATAAATATTAATGTAATTTTATTGGTATCTATCTACCAGTAGCTTCCTCATTTCCCACCCTCGGCTTATATTCGGGGCGGCTTATACTCGAGTATATACGGTAATTATGTTTCTCTCTTCCTAAGCTTTCTGTGTAGCAGGATTCCTAATGGAACAGACTGTAGCTGTGCCTGGCCTCATTACCGTGTAAAACATTAATTTGTTTCCTTTTTGCTTTATGGTTTCAGAGTTCAGATAAAAGGGACTGTAAATTATCATTGCCAAAAGCAATGCAGGTTAACTGGTCTAAATTAAATAATGCGCTGCCAGTCATCAGGTTAATTAGAGTGATTCAGAAATCATGTGCCTGTAGCCGACTTACTGAGAGGGCGTACGTGGAAAGATCTGTTGCTTTATGTGTAGAGAAGGAGATGTTTGTTGAGTTTTCTTAAAGCACAAGAAGCATTAGGAATAAACTAAGCACAATGGATTTCTGGCAGATCAAAAGATATGTTTAGTACTTACAGGGTTTTTACAGATATAAAACATGGGAAAATTTGCATGTATTACAGAGATGTACTGTATGTTTGTTTTTCCCCCAGACATACACTTTAAGGCCCCATTCACACCAAGGCTTTTGTTGCGCGTAATTTTTCGCACTGAAGAGCTCAAAACAAGAAATCACATTGATTTCTATAGCTGCCGATCACACGTGTGCGTAGTGCCGCACGTAGCTGGAAAAAACACATGAGGGTTTTTTTAGGCCAGATCAGCGAGTGAATAACCCAGCTGAAGTGAAGTGAGCCTTCAGGTTCGGCTATTCACTTCTGGCTTGTACGGGTGATTTGAGCTGTACATTGGCTGAAATCAGCCATATATCGGCTGCCTTCGGCTGCACTTCCGACAGCCGAAAGTGCAGAAGGACTTCGACTCAGCCAAACCAACATCTGGATCTGCTGAGCTGAAGCTCTGGCAGCTCACTAGCTATTCACCGGATATTCTGCTCGGTACCTCCGTGGTTAAAAAGAAAAACAAACAAACAAACAATTGGGCGGAGCTAGCAGTGACAGCCTATTGGCCGGCACCTGCTAGAGTCTTCTAGCAGGTGCTGGCCAATGAATAACAACAAGACGGAGCCGGTCGTGACCAGTTGTTATTGTTTAACCAGTTGCCGTCCGCCCGTTGTAAAAAAACGGATGGACGGCACTGCAGCATTGGAAGCTGAGATCACGGCTGGCTCCACCCAGCTGTCATTTGCGGGGCGAAAGGCTGGCCTTCGGCAGGCCGTTCACCCCGCTTCGGCTGTCACTTTGGCTCAGTCGAATAGCCCGTACAGCAGCCTATAGTGAATAGCCCGTACAGCAGCCCTTCGGTTCGACTACACCGAAGGGCTCCCGCAACCGGAGCGAGCCAAAGGATCAGCCGAAGCTACGAAGCAGCTTTTTGAATGATCCTTTTTGTTTTTGGGTTTACGTACGCTTTACAATTATCTTATAATACATTTGATGTGTGCTTTAAAATGCAACTTAAGCCAAAATGCTTTTTCTTAGTTTTGGATAGAGTAGAGAGAACAAATTTGCTTTCTGTCCCCGAGATTCATCCTCTCTATTTGTTCTGGTGACCATTATCACTGAAAGTGAAAGAAAGTCCTAGGTTTTGGGTTTGTCACCAGAACAGGAAAAGATAGGAAACCTTCCAATGGAGACACTAGACCATGAGGGATTTTCCTAACTTTGGAGGGATTTCTTCTCACTTCCTATTGGAATTTTAGTGAAATCTCCACATGGGACACAGATGGCAAAACAAAAAAAACTGACAGGGACTATAAACAGGGGTGTCCCTATCATTTTTGCCACCTGAGGCAGGGGAAGCGGGATGTTGGCGGTTCACATTTGGGATGGGGGCCATGTGCTCAGCTCACTGACATCATTGCATGCCAGGAGCTGGGTGGGACGTGACCAGAGCGTCCCAGGCTGCTAAGAGTTGGGCAGGGAGATGTGTATTGCACCTTGGTATGGATATGGAAGGAAGGAAGAGTCTACAGGAGCCAGAGCATTGCACCTGCCATCCACTGATATTGTATGCAAAAAAATAAATGAACATTTTTTTCTTTTATGAAGAAGTGTACATTTTTTTTCCGGTAGGTGGAATGACTCTTTAATGTGTATCAATAAAATATAATACATTTATAAATACGTATAACAACTGAACATATTCCAAATTAAGCATTTTTTATATTAGTATATTTTTATTCTTAGTTCTAGTTCCTTATACTAAAAATGTTCAGTAAAAACTGCTTTTCCCTGCAGATGTATTTAATTTCTGGTTAATTCAAACATTTTCTTTGCACAAAATACACATTTCCCCAACGTAAAATATAACACTTTTGCTTTAATGACATATTAAAAAGGACCATAAAAAGTATGCTATGTGCTGGCACATTGATATTGCTGCATCAAGCTTTTAGCGCCCTCTGGTGCCCAAGAAATAATAAACATCTCTATATCAGGTTGCTAAGGGTCTTGAGCTAGTGACAATCATGAAAGAAAAATTAAAGGCTTACTAATGTTGTGTTTTCTGCATTTTGATGAAAATGCCTGCATGTGGTCTGCAATCTACTCACAAGTATTACAAATAAAAAGGTCCAAGAGTGACTATGTTTCTTATGAGAGCATCCCCTAATATCTTTTAAAATACACTTTGTGGCATTTTTACAGGAAGGATGTAACATAGCTTTGTGGTAGAACTGTCATCCCCAACCAGAAGGTCTCAGATGAAAGCAGCGCCATCACACTTCTCAAATTATAAAGTGTTGTTTGCTGATACACAAACTACAACAATCCCCCTAAAGAAACATTAGCAGGCATATTCAGTAGTACCCTGTAAGATGCCACAAATTAGCTCAGAAAATAGTATAATACCATGACTACAGACAGAAGACCGTCTTCATTGTTGGGGATAAGCTTTTATTTTCCAGACTGTCAGGAGGCGTATTGGCGATCAAGCTGCATTACTCAACTGCAGTGGACAGAAGTGAGGACAATAATTTTCTCATTGCAACACAATGCATGGTATTTTGGTATTGTGTGTTGTGCTGCGCTGCAACGCACAGCCTCTGGTAGGTGCATTGGGGTGTCATTCAAGTGAATAGTTACCCCATACTAGGTGCGTTGTGCGATAAAGTGCGCTAAACCCACAATACCATGCGATTAACTCAATGCTATGATGTGAACAGGCCCTTAACTTTGCTGTCTAAAAGGAAAGCCTAAATCAGAAGACTATTGAAATAGAATCCCAAAGCCTTTAGTAGGTAGCACGGGTTACATGTGTGTATTTTAATGTTTCAATGATCGATATGGTGGAGTTCGGCTTTATTGATGGCAGTGTGACACAACATTTACATACATAGTTTCTTGCTGATATTGCATAATAAAAAATTCTGTTTTTATTTTCAGGTTATTGAGACATTGTCCAAGCTCTCCCATACTCCAAATGCCGTGTCATGTGGAATCAGGTCAGTTATTATTCTTTGCTTTTTCAAATGGCATTATTATTGGCACAAATTATAATTCTGACAAAATGTACACAAACATACACTGTCTGGCCAAAAGGAAGTCACCACCTGGATTTGGGGCAGTGTTATGATCTTGGGTTGCTTCAGTTGCTCAGCAACATTATGGGCCTAAAAAATGATTTAGCTAAGCAAATAGGTCAGAGCCCTCCACTGGATAATAGGTCTAGGTTCAACAGCATTATGTGCCCCAAAATTGAGGTCAGCTGCCTACCTGAATATACTGAATTACCAGGAATTTCCATCAATGGATTTTTTCTTCCCTCATGGCACGGGCATATTCCAAGATTACATCACCAGGATTCATACAGCTCAAATTGTGAAAGAGTGGTTCAGGGAGCATAAGATATAATTTTAACACATGGATTGTCTACCACAGAGTCCAGACCTTAACCCCATTGAGAATCTTTGGGATCGGCTGGAGAAGACTTTATGTGGTGGTCCGACTCTCCCATCATCACTACAAGATCTTGGTGAAAAATTCATGCAATTCTGGATGGAAATAAATGTTGTGTCATTGCATAAGCTTATTGAAACAATGCCACAGCAAATGTGTGCGTAATCAAAGCTAAAAGTGGTCCAACCAAATTTTACAGTGTTTGACTTTTTTTTGGCTGGGCAATGTATATAGAATCCATCAAGTTTGTTTTTGCTCTGAAAGAAGAGCTCCACTTGCTAATTACAAGAAAGTATTGAAGCTACTGGATCACTATGACAGACCTAGCACTAATAATTTTAGAATAATAATCACTTGAATGAAAAGGAATGAATGAATAAGCAGTTATTTCTCTGTGAATAAGGTGTATTTCCTTTCCTGGGAAGCCACAGGTGGTGTGTATAGCCACCCATAGACATCAATGGCCGAACACTATTTCAATAAGCCAGTATAAATGAGAAGTATTGGTGAAAAAAAAACAATTCTGGATTTAACCAATTGTTTCTGGCATAGAAATTCTGAATGCCTCTCGTAACTGGGGGCGTGGCTGGAGGCAGTCCATTGCCTAAATACATTGGGGGGAATTTATCAACACTGGAGCAGACAGAATCTGGAGCAGTTACCCATCTCAACCAATCAGCATCTCTCTTCAGATTGCTCAGGTAAGATTTGAAAATGAGACAGAAGCTGATTGGTTGCTCCATGCTCCGGTTTTGATAAATTCCCCCCATCTTGCTAGAAGGTGTCCCCCTTAACCATCTCAGAAAGTTGAATTATGGTACTGGTGTATACCTGCCATACAGCCATGTACAGCTGTTAATGTCTATGGGTTGCTGTATGTATCATCTGGGGCTTCCCGACAAGGAAATACATCTGAATTTTATGTATATAGCCCCCATATGCCCTTGTGCATGATGCCTATTGAGATTGCAAACATGGCACTTGTACAGTGATCCTATTTAACATGTATTTTTTGAGCAGTATTAATATTAATAACAAAAACAACAAGAACAATAGTATTTATTGTATTTATTATTAGGAACATTTTGCACATTGAGGGGACATTTGCAATAAATGTAGTTACAAACCCACCAGTCAATATTAAATAACAGATGTTGACTATAGATCATATAGTATGATGACTTGGAAACTTGATGGATGTTTTATGCAAGTTTTAATGTTTGTTATGCCCAACTGCAAGAAAATCCTTAAATATTAATTCTACATGAAAACCCTTGTGCTCTCTAGATTGGACATGCAAGACACATATTTCAACCAGAAAAACATATTTGAAACTCAAATATTTATTTAAAGAAGAAGTCCGGGCAAACAAAATCTTAACCCTTGCAGTGGGGCTACCCCCCACACTGGAAAGAGTAATTGTTTGTTTTGCCTAGAGAGCTACAATAACAGAGATATACTCACCAAAACTGCGATCCCAGCTTGCTCTTGCTCTTCAGCCTCGCTCCCCCTCCGTTCAATGAGGTCTTGTGAGTCATCACGCCTAATACAGTGTATAGGACATGAGGACACCTAGGGACATACCATCGTTGGAGCAGAGAAGGAACCAGGTTAAAGGGACCAGTCTAGGAGCAAGCCAGGATCACTGTTTGGGTAAATATATCACTGTTATTTTAGCTCAGTGGATAAAACGAGCACTTAACCCTTGCAGTGCAGGGTAGCCCCGCTGCAAGGGTTAAAATTTAGTTTACCTGGAGTTCTTCTTTAATAATTGTAGTAATTAATTATTCAAGTCTTCTTTCCTCTCATATGGAGACAGTGGCTCTGTAACTACAAATGGTGTACTCTTGTGGTCACCCTAATAGTGCTGAACAAAATATATCGGTAGATGAAGAATGTCCTTCAAACTATGCTTCAGGACAAATACTGCATAAAAAAATAAGACAGCCTGAATGTCATGCGGGTATATGCAGTATGATGTTGTGCAGATTGCAGTAGCTCTTAGCAGTTATATTAGTGAGAACATGAAATAATACCTTTAGATCAATTGCAATGGCTTATGACAGTTTCCACATCATTGCTGTTCTTTGTCATGATCTTGACTATATCTAAACATTTTGTCACATTGAGATGCTTGCCCCACACAGTTTTGAACGTGACTGCATTAAGATTTGTACACAACCATAATATTATGTCTGATGAAAGCTTAGTCATATCTGTCAATGTAGTGGGCTTCCTGACCTCATAAAATCAGTACAATAATGTTGGGGAGCTTGCAATTTTGTATTATAAGGAACCAATAAGGATAGAAATAGCAGGGCTGCCCTTGCTGACTTCTCTTTAAAGGTGCATGACTCAGGGATTATCAATTCCCAGCTTCAATAACCTAGTGAATTACCGACCTTGATCGAGCATGCAGCCACTCTGAAAGCTCAGAACTCTTACACATTTTTGTTGTTGATAACTGACTCACTGGGGTCCATTTACAAAAGGCAACTAGGCTGTTCACTTTGCAAATACATTTTTCCTTTAGCTTAGTGCATGGGGTGATTTTCTGCTGACTTTCATCATCCAATCATGTGCAAGCAAAAATACAGTTTAAAAAAAATATATATATTTTCCTTGTTTAACCGCCTCCCGGCGTTAAAAACAGCCGGCCGGGAGCTCCCTGGATCTGAGCGGGCGTTTTTAAAAGCGTCCGCTCAGCCTCGCCCACTCGCGCCGTGACAGGATCGAAAAGTGAGCGAACGCCGGTATGTGTTCGCTCACTTCCCGATCTACTGAGCCGACCTGTGACAGTCTCATTGTCACAGGTCGGCTAGAACTATGAGGTGAGTGAAAAGCACTCACCTCATAGTTCTCCTTTAAGATTGAATATTCTTTGAATATTCTTTGCAAAATGAATTATCACCACATTTACTGAGCTAAGGGAAAATCTCCTTGCAAAGTGAACAGGCCATTTGCATTTAGTAAACCAACCCGATGGTTGGTTTACTAATATAATAATTATAATAATATATAATAATTTTGTATAACTTTATATCAGCAATATTTTTTATAAAGGCATTAACATCAAATTGTGCTCTTGTGGAGCTTACACTTTCACTCTACTACCAATTTCATGCAGACTCCATGCATTTTTTGGGGATCAAACCCAGGAACCTAGTGCTGCAAGGCAACACTTTGCATCATATAAACAAGAACACACTGGATCATATAAATTTCTACATACTTTAACTCATAGGAATTGATTTATTTATTATTTTATTTCAATGCTATTCCTCTAGGGTTACATCATAGACCAGTTGTATTGCAATTCGCCCTTAGTACTCAAAATATTGGTAGTAAAAATACACAGTGCTACATGAAATAAATCAACCAATGCAATCATACAATAACACAACAATGTATACATTAAAACACCAAAAAACAAACGATGGTTGGTTTACTAATATAATAATTATAATAATATATAATAATTTTGTATAACTTTATATCAGCAATATTTTTTATAAAGGCATTAACATCAAATTGTGCTCTTGTGGAGCTTACACTTTCACTCTACTACCAATTTCATGCAGACTCCATGCATTTTTTGGGGATCAAACCCAGGAACCTAGTGCTGCAAGGCAACACTTTGCATCATATAAACAAGAACACACTGGATCATATAAATTTCTACATACTTTAACTCATAGGAATTGATTTATTTATTATTTTATTTCAATGCTATTCCTCTAGGGTTACATCATAGACCAGTTGTATTGCAATTCGCCCTTAGTACTCAAAATATTGGTAGTAAAAATACACAGTGCTACATGAAATAAATCAACCAATGCAATCATACAATAACACAACAATGTATACATTAAAACACCAAAAAACAATAAATATGGAAAATGACAAAAGCAGATACAAAGTACAAGCAGTGCAGACAACTGAAATGTGTAAAAAGAATTGCACTGTTTATGATAAGGCTGATGCCTATATTCATCCACCGATGATTATTTCCATGTTCTGTCACTCCTTTTATTACATATAAACTCACAGGAATCATCTCCCATATACGTACGGTGCCTCCCTGTAACCTCTAGTCAGGGCTAACCCACTGAATAGCCATGACCTTACACAGAACACAGTATAGACCAACTATATTACGACAAAAGAAAAAAGGAAAGCTCCATAGCATAAAACCAAACTATTCAATAAAAGTTTTAAAAAAAGGAAAACACCTACACTTTTGTAGTGCTATAACAGCAAATAGTTATTGTCCTCCTCACTCCTGTTAGTCCTGAGAGTAGGAGTGTACCTCCGTATGTGAAGACTTCACTGACCCCAACCAGAGTGTTTTATAACTTCTGGTCTTCCTCAGGAGCAGTGTCAGGGACTTCACTGTAGAAGATGTTGTCCACACACCATTCTGCTTCAGAATATCATCTTTATTTGCATTTCGTTAGCATAACATATAGATACAACATCCTCACAGGACCCCTTTATCAGGCAAAGGGACACTTTGCCTGACAAAGGGGTTTTGTGAGGCTTTGAAATATTGCATCTATATGTCATGTTAACGGAATGCGAATAAAGATGATATTCTGAAGCAAAATGGTGTGCGGACAACATATCTTCTAGATTGTATGCTGTGGCTCCATCCACCAGTTGTTCCAGCACTCGTTGGATTCTGGGGTACATCGGTACAGTGTGGAAAGGCGATATTACTAAGACATAAGTGGCATCACTCTAGCACCCTTATATACACGTTGCAGTAAAAGCATCTGCCCCCTTCCAGAGAAAGAAAACTTTCTTTAACCCATTACATACAGCTATCAGATACATCCTAATGATATGGCAATATCACTCTATTTATAAGATCAGCAGCACTGTAACCAATACAGGTCTCCAAAACACAACCCCCAGGACATTAAGCCATTAGCTATCTGAATACAATTAATTCATGGGTAAACCCAAAACTGAATAACAGAACTATCCCAAAATGATCATAACTATTACATATTAATTGACAACCTCTAATATCAAACAGCATAAAGCTGAACCATAACAATGATGATGTTATCCCTTACAGTCTCCAATCTATTGTATTTAATTATTATAAAAGTTATTTCTGCAGGGATCATAAACACTAGCAGATTACTGTTGGATTGGAAATGCTCATCTTGTGTCGTCTGATATCTTTCAAGTAGAGATCACATTGTATTTTGAAAATTTCACATGCACAATAAAAAAGAGAGCATGATTCTAACTCTTCTTTATATCCCTAAATAACTTAACAAACCTTATATATGCTTTGTTTTACAGGGCGTTCCCTACAGAGGAAAGTGTACAAGATGAAGACATTTACAAAGCTCTGCCTGATTTACTTGAGTATGTATTTATAATACTTTTTATAGATAAGCCCAATGAAGAAGTACAGTACTGTGTTTGGATTGTATTGCTGTATTTACTGGGATGTAAAAAGAGGGAAAATATGCATAAGGTCACAATCATACTTTCTTAAATGTAATTGGACAGTGACAATTTAGTTTGTTTTATTTAAATGATTGTGTGTTTATCAAATGTCTTTACGTCATTTACAATGTTCTTGCTAGTGACAGGATAATTAGTTGAATGTTTTCAAAAATTATTTCTCAACCTGAATTAAAATCTACATGGAAAAGGGTTTACCCTCAGCTGGTATTGGTAATGAAAGAACGATATATAGGGTGACATGTATGTAAGATGACTCATCTCATTAGAAAATGTAATCTTGGCTGGTATTGTTTTAAAGTACCTTGTATTAGATGGAAAGGTCAAAGATCGCTTTTTGTTGGTGTCATTGAATTATGGCAATGGATGATTCTTCCATTTGAATTACTGATATTATTAGCAGCTACATTATTTAAACAAAACTGAAGCTAAATGCATAGACTTTAAAATGCATGATTTTTTTCTTTATCACTTGCATAATGGTGAGAAAGATCTCCAGTTTAGAAGTGAGAAAGTACAGATTGGTTAACTACCATACTATTCTTACTAAATAGTAGCCAAGTATTGTACCCTCAGATTCGTATAGCTTACAAGTTGATTAAGTTTGTTAGTGACAATACATATAATATGCATATAATTTCACATATACATCATTTTGTATAGTAAGCTTTGTTCGAAACAAATTTATACTGTATGTAAAGAGAAGCCAAAAATGTATGAGAAAAAGGAAATTCCGAAATCAGTTGATTTATACTTATTTTTCCCTGAACTAGAAATAAACCCGGGGCCTTTGTATAACCTTTGTATCCATTCAAACATATTTTTAATTATAACATGTTCATTAAATAATTTAATTTAGCATAACTGATGTGATCATAAAAATGTGAAGAACACAGCTCAGATCTGGCTTGTCAATGTCTTCTCACTACCCTGAAAATGCTGCTGGCAGAGGATACAATAGTTCAGGTCAGTTAGGGATGACTGCATCAGGGATTTATGCAAAGAAGTAGGAACCCCCCCTTTGATATCTGCCATTATTTCTCTATGGCTGTCTGTTTTTTCTGACACGGTGCCGCCTGCCCAAATTCCATGTCTGCAGATATGCATAGTACACATACTGAACATTTTGCACACAAGAAAGTTTAGGGGGTTATTCACAAAACGGTGAAGAGTTTGGAAAAGGCAGGAAAGGTGAATAATCTAGGACAACATAGCTGAACTGGAAAGTGAGCTGAATTGGAGAATTTTTCCAAATCAACTATTTTGGCCTAGATTGTTTACTTCTCCTGCCTTCTCCAAACTCTTCACCGTTTTGTGAATAACCCTGTTAATTTTCCACTATTCCCTACACAGGGATGGATAAATCCCAAAAGCCAGGTCGCCAATGCTCCTTAAAAATTACAGCTGCTGCCTAACTTCTGAGGTTTCCTCTAGTTGTTGTTAATGGAGCTGGCTCCTAAAAACATCCCACTGGCTCCTGGATTGGACAGACCAGCTCCTAATTTCCATATTAATTTGTCTACCCCTGCCCTACCATATGTCATTATATACTATCTCACTGGCTTCTTCTGCTCCCTCATTAACAAAAGCAGCATCCTGTCAGAACTATTGAGAATAAAAGAATTGGACATTACTTTTATCAGAGTAAACATTCTGACAATCCCTTCCTGTGCCATCATATTCACTATTGTACTTTAGTGCTACAGTATAGGACAGGACCTTTTGCTAAAGACTGATGTTTTTAGCATTCAGCAAAGCTGTTCTAACAGGTGTATTTCCCATAGAGATCACAAATATAGAGACCCCTAAATATAATAATAGAAATGTTAAGGAGAGCTCAACCATGAGTTTCCATACAGTTTAATTTGTTTGGACTGTGTGCACTCAGTAAGAAGTGTCATGATGAAAAGACCCACCATGTTTATGGTAATTTGTACACTGTTTAGCCAGGTTGCAGCACTAAGCCTGTAAGTGATATTGTCAATATTCTGAGTCAGTCATGGCTGTACGCCTTTTCACACTGACGCACTACAACAGTATACGTTCTATACTGGAACATCATATTTGGACCTTTGCGTGTGTCTAACAAGTATGAATTCATGACTTGCTTTCCTCTTACAGTGAATCAGGGATGGAGGAAGATGATGAATTGTATTATGACTGTGTATACAGAGAGGATGAAGGAGATGAGGTTTATGAAGATCTCATGAAGGTTGAAGTTGCAGTGCCCAATGTAAGGCAACTTGTATTAGTGTATCAATACAGATGTCCTATGGTAATATAAAATATTGTGCAATAATTATAGTCAAATATCTCCACACTGCTGTTTGCACTGTTGAATATCCCCAAACTAAAACCTGTTAACCTACTGGTCCAGGCCAGTGCACCCAAGCCAACCAGAATATATCATGTTATGTATATTTGTAAAATCTCGCCACCACCTTTCTAGTGACCTTGTGACTGTTGAGAGATATGGATATGTAAAGTCATTTTTACTAGATCTTCTGAATAAACTTTTGTTTGAATGATCATAGAGGACTACAGAGAGTGACATCCGAAGCTGCTGCCTTTTAGAAATAAAGCAGACAGAGGAGAAATATTCAGAGACCTTGGAGTCTATAGAAAAGGTGGGTATAAAGTGGTCAAAATGAATCAATCTATCTTGGCTAATCAGGTGAAAATATTTGCAAGTTAAAACTGTAGGTGCCATCACATTCACACCGCGGCAAACAAATTAGAAGATACTACTAGTTTGTGGTTCACGGCTTTACCAGTGGTCCATCATTATTTGTTGATATATTTTACACCTCGAGGATTTATATATTTTATGAAAGAGCAACAGTGTACAAATATCCACACTACATAGCACTGCATAAAATCAGTGTGTGACCTCCATAGCTATGGGCATGCACATATGCCGCTAGGCTTATTCCATTGTTTGATATTAAAATGACAGTTGTAATGTAATATCTTTGCAGAAAATATCAAAATCATCACATAATAAGTCAAAGTATTGGGGGGCTCCAATGCCCATCCTTACTCTTCTTATACCTTTTTAAGCAGAGTGAACCAAAGCTATTGTGAGTTTTTTTTTTTCTTTTTTTCTTAACCCCTATTACCAGAAGCTTGTACAATGGGCTTTGGGCTAATAAATTAGGTTGTAAAAGACTACAAGCTTGCAAATGTTTGGTAAAAGCAGACTTATTACTTTTTACCAATTAAACATACTGGACCAAGCTCTTTGACTAGAAATCCTTAATGCGTAACTACTCTTAAAACATTGATAGAGACCCCCTGTAAGTAGAATGTCAGGAAATTAGTGGTGAGATAGCAGCAAAATGTTCACTACCAAAAATAACTTCTCACCTTCTGGGTAATTAGTTGTTGGTGTTCATCACAGTGAATTATTTTTTTACATCACTTTAATCTCACATTCATTATCTGTCTTTTCTTTTGCAGTTCTTCATGGAGCCGTTGAAAAAATTCTTGCCTGCAACAGACCTGCAAAAAATATTTATTAATATCCCTGTAAGTGGCTTAGACGAGGAGAAGAGGAAATATAGAAAAGCACTCCAGCACTGTGTGATTCTAAAGATTAAATATCTAAATAACAGTGACAATTTTAACAACTCCTACTGGCTAATATAAAATACCATTTAATTCAGTTACATATTTATCAAAACACCATTATATGTATTTTATAAAGAACTAAAATTATCTGACACTGTCCTCATATACGTCTGCTGTATGCCCCACAGCAGTACTTACCCTGTAACAGAGATAACTAGCTGCAGCTAGAGCTGTACTGTTTGCACAGGAAACTCATACAACAGTATACATCCCTGGTGCCAATCTGTAGCCCTAGAGCCACATGCAGCCCTTTGCAGAGGCTAGTGGTGAATATAGAAGCACTAAGTTGCAGAGGGTCATAATGGCAATGAACTGTAGCAGTCTCAAGAGTCTCTGTCTCCTGCAGATGGTGTCAGAGTCTCCAGCAACACCCATAGCATGTCTGCAGATTCTGAACATATATTTTAGTATGTGTGCAGTCTCTAACCATCTTTTGTAGCATTACTGAATACTAAACATTATGTGCAGCCCTTTGGTGCCTTTAGGGGCTGCAGTTAAGGCCCCTTATACCTTCTAAGTTGGCAATCACTGGAATACATACCTACAGACAGGGTCTTCCTTATGGTGAGGCAGCCTGTGGGTGTTTCCTCCGGCAGAATCTCTCTCGGTCATGGAGGAGGGTGGCAGGCAGAGCTTGTGCCTGCTGCCTACTTTCCGGCCAGAGCTTCCCAGGTTGCTAAGAGCCGGGCAGGGAAATACTCGTACTCGTGCAAATACTCCGATACAAAAAACGAGTACCTGTGCCGCGTCCGCCATCTTCAAGGACCCGAAACCGCCGCACACAGGACCTCCATAGCGTCTTCAATGAAACAAGATGGCCGCAAACTCCTCCTCCACGGGCGAATGGACGAAAGTAAACTCCGCCTCCAAGTCCTCAGTCATCTGCTCCATTCTGGACCTCTTCTCACGCTGATTGGCCGATTGGATGATTGACAGGCTTCCTCACCAGTTATAAAATTGATAATATAAAAAAAAGACATTGAATAATGAAATGAACTGAATATTTAGATCATGCCATTGCTAACTAAGGCTTGTATCCCCATAGTGGGGAAAATAGATGAGCACATGCCCAGACTCCAGAACAGTGTATTATTGTATAGTGTGGCAGAGCTATAACCAATTCTGCATACCTGGCTTTATATTATAACGTTTTTATAATATAAAGCCAGGTATGCAGAATTGGATATAGCTGTGCCACACTATACAGTGTTCTAGAGTCTGGACATGTGCTCATCTATTTTCCCCACTATGGGGATACAAGACTTAGTTAGCAATGGCATGATCAATATTCATTTCATGTTCATATTCTTAATCATATTTTAAATTTTACGAAGGATATTTACAGATTGAATACATGATCATTGCATCTAAGAGTGAAATCTTAGTTTGTCAGGATAAGCCACCCATTGATTTCTTGTCTCTGCTTCTAACTTCTCAGATCCTCTAACCTACTGTTGCCATCATAGGGGAACAAACGCATGAATTGCTATTAAACGCATTGTGGTATTATGTTAGTGCAGAGATATACATAGTGAACAAGATTTTGACAAACCATACAATGATGTTGTATACGTATGATGTCTTCAATAAGTATTGTATTTATCTTTGGAACCTCCATTCCAAGTAGCAGCATATGGAATTATGTACACACACTCTTGCAGTGAGTACTATGCATATCTACGTTCTGACACTAGAATGTACATTCCAAAGCAAAACACACTTAGTCAATTTACTATGTGCATACTGTAGGCTTTGTGTGCTTATTCACACACATCTTGCATGCATAGTAAATATTGCAAGGCTACAGCTGGGTTGTGTATGCACTATCCAGGTGCTGGCATATGCACATATGCTTCAGTAAATCAGGTCCAGTCTGTTGCATGTTTTATTTACTGTACGTTCAAGACTTTCAACAAGCATGATAAGACTTCATAGCTGTAGGGTTAGTGTTGTGAACTCTAAAAAGGTGACTTCACTACTTCAGTCACTGGTTTGGATAAGAAACCAAGGGTGATTCAGTGCACCGGAATTCACAAATAACTGGCCTACCAGAGTTAGGTGGGATGCGTCTTTTATAGGTAGCCCTTAATGCAAAGTGTTGTTTGTGCTTTTTTAGCTAGTTTGATTGTTTTTATTCCCTTCAAGCCGCTGATTGTGCTCACATATTTCTCTTTTTGGTGTGCAGGAATTGGTGAAAGTGCACAGAAGCCTCATGCTTGAAGTCAGTGACTCAATTACACATAAGAATAGCCAAAACCTCTACTTGGTCTTCCTGGCATATAAAGAGAGGTAATATTTAATCATCTGCAATCATTTCAGCATCAGCAGCAATAGAGGTCACACCAGTCCAAAGGGAATATGAACCTATACTGTGCCTTAATTCTACTGTTTTCTGTTTGTTCTACTGCTTTCTAGCCATCTTATCACGTCACTCTTTGAATGCCCTTGGTGTTTGGGCTTCTTTTTCTGCAACGAACTTCAAAGTGCTATGAAAGTATGTGTGGTTAAAGGCATTCAGGACATTGTGAATGCAAATGAGTTAGGCAGTTCTGATAACCTAAGATCTTTCATAAAACCATTAACTGAATAACTGAATGGTTAAATTTTTGTTGGTAGTTAAGGTACTTGAATGCAAGATTTAACGCCTGAGTTTAGTGTCACTATAAAGCAATTAAATGTTTACATATATTTTATATAATATATACAGCGAGGAAAATAATTATTTGATCCCCTGCATAACATGACTTTAGTACTTGGTGGAGAAACCCTTGTTGGCAAGCACAGAGGTAAAACGTTTCTTGTAGTTGGTTGCCAGGTTTGCACACATCTCAGGAGGGATTTTGGTCCACTCTTCTTGACAGATCTTTTTTAAATCCTTAAGGTTTCCTGGCTGTCGCTTGGTAACTCGAAGTTTCAGCTCTCTCCATACATTTTCTATAGCATTGAAGTCTGGTGACTGGCTATGCCCAGCTGTCATTTGCGGGGGAATGGCCGGCCTTCGGCAAGCAGTTCTCCCCGGTTTGGCTGTCACTTCGGCCGAGCTGCTCGGCTGCCTTCGTCATCTGTACGGGCTATTGTGAATAGCCCATACAACAGCCCTTCGGTTCGAAAGGGCTCCGGCGGCCGAATAGAGCCATAGGAGCAGCTAAAGCTACTCCTGGATACTTTGGCTCTTTTGTGAATAACCCCCATGGTATCTATAGCGTATGCTTTTGGGAGCAACGTTATGTAACAGCCATTAAGGTTTTGTTGTGGGGACCAAAATGAATAAAAACTGTGTTTTGTATGCCAGGAAGTGCAGCATTACTTTTTTTTAAATGGAAGATATATGGTAGATCACAGAAGGAAAAAACAAATGACTGTAATGTATTATTATTACAGAACATTGATGGAATAAGAAACTGCTGAGACACATTGACGCAATATTTCATAAAAAGTCTGTAAGTTTCCTGAATAAGTGTAATCAGGATTAGTGTTTTGGATGGTTAACTAGAGATTGGCAGCATTAAATTTGCAGATTATCTCCACTGTTATCTGGGGAGAACCAATGTTCTCAGCAGCGTTGTTGTTAGATGATTGCCACAAGTTCAGACAGTTCTTTATCATGATTCATGGAATATCTGTCTGCGTATGGTCCCCTTTCGTTTTCTATAAATGTAACATTAAAAAGCACTGTGCACAGCTAACATTTTTTTTTCTATCTTCGTCAGACTTCTCATTTATGGAGGGTACTGTAGCCAGGTGGAGATAGCCATATCTATTCTGGATAATATCTGTAAAACCAGAGAAGACGTCAAATTAAAACTGGAGGTATGCAGCCACATTTTACTTGAATCAACCTTTACCCTCTGTCATGGGTGTTTTAAGCATCACCAAACCTTAGAACACCAATAGTTTGACACCACAGTTTAAGCTTGCTGGGTGTCTTCCATGCAGGGCTATGTGGGACTTCAGCCAATTGTTACTACAGGCAAGTGTATATAACAGCAAAACTTTTTTAGTTTAGGATAGCTTGGGGAAGTTGAAATCTTACATTTTACAGTAGGACCTGATGAGGGTTTTACCCTTTCCTATCCAAAACTAAAAAAACAACCCACAGTTTTGGCTGTACATACACTTTACAGAACTACTTTAGCGAAACATATTGTATTCTAAATGTTTTAATACCTGTAATGATATATGTCATATAAAGATTTCCCTTGTTTATTTCACAACCCTTTTTTTGTTGTTTTCTTAACATTTGAACGCAGATCAAGTTGTCCAGCTTGGTCTGCATTTAAATATTAACATTTAAAAGTGACAGTTACAGAGGTTAGGACTAGCCATCTAACACCGAAAGAGGTGCTTACCATGGTCAGCATTTATTCATAGGTTTAAAGTTTTTTTTCAGAAGAAAACAAAAAAACTGCTGTAACTGCTTAAAAAGTGTTAGCTGAAGTTATACTTAAGATGCATGTTGCTTGAATAAAGTGCACCTGACTATGGTCATTAAACTATTCACATAATCTTAACATGCAGTTAAGAGCTTTACAACATGCCCCACTCACCTCTCTGGCCATTTGTACTGTGAACTAATTCACTCTTAAAAATCCTCAAAGATCAAACAAAAACTCTAAAGTGGGTTTCTAACACCTGCTGTGTGTTTGCATTGGAAGGTTGTCAGGCTGCTAAGATCTGCTCTAATAGAAAAAAAGCTGACATTTTTTTGCCTCTGTTGTGAACTTTGAAAATTAATTTCCCCACAATGCCTATAGCTACAGAGTTAAATGAGCACTTGTGTTAAAGTGATTTTACTGTTTTTTTTTCAGAATATGTAAATACTTTATTGTGCATAGTCTGCGCTGAGTTTCACTCTATGGATTAGTTAAACTAAATTTCTATCTAAGACGACCCTGTCCACAGAGCGACAATGCTGGTGTGTGATCTCACTGCAGAACTAACAGTGTTAACACTCTGTTAATGGAAATGACAAAATATTAGATCTACTTTTAGGATGAGTAGATGGTGCAAAATATGGTACAGCGGAGATTCATTTAAAAAGCAACTGCTTTGTTGATGCTAGTGACAGACTGCATTGTATATGTACATTTTTGCCTATACTGTAGTTCCACCTTAAATGTTATCTTCTATAAATAATATTGAAATTACAAAACGTCATCTGGAAATCTGGGCAGATCAGATGAGGTTTGAAAACCTGTTAGGGGTGCGCTACAGACATCTAATTATCCATACAAGTCCCGTTATTCTGCCAGTTCAAATCAGTGATATAGTGACAATAATATCAATAATATTCTAAATTTGATTCATGTTAGGACTGAGATTTTTAAGTTCCAAAATCATTGCCTTGGGGTTTTTAGCTTTTGCTGACATAACTCCAGTTTCTGTCCTGTGCTGAACTCCTTTAGAGAAGAAGTAGTGCTCTGTGTGTCAGCTAATAGAAGCACCATCCCCTGGCAAGCATCCATCTTCCCTGCAGCACTCCACCAGCTGCAAAGACAGCAACAGTGTGCTTCTGTATAGCTCTGCCCTTCACTGTGGGACCATCTCATGGCACAGGTTCTGTCACCATGACTTCATGTGGGATTTTCAGTACTTCAGGCTATATAGTCACAAAGTTTTAAAAACAACATTTAAAAATGAATCTATTTCATTATTAGAAATCAAATAAACATTATTCTCTTTTAGGATTATTTTATAGATGTTTCCACAAGTGGCCATTATTGTTTTATAGTACAAGAAAATGAATTGAATATGACTTGTGTTCTTAATTTCTAATTGTATTCTTTTGCCGAGAGTATTCTATTCAGTTTTTCTGCACAACTAAGCTTGCAGCACAGAGATATGACAGCACACCCCATTATGAATATTTATTCCTGCCGATGTGATTAATGTAAAAGGAAACCATTTAAAGGTGTCAATTTTCAGATGTGCTTGTTTTTTTGCAAAGCTTAAAATGTTATTTCTCTAGCGTCCATTAAGGGACACAGCTTGATAGCAAGGAACCTAGAGTTATTCTGACTCCTACAGATGAAATGGTCACTAGGCAAATAGAAAACGGAAGGCTTGCCCTTTAAAGCTCTAATTTCCCTCACATCTACCCAGCTTCACTTTGTATCCTTAGGAGAGTGGATGCGTTTTCATCAGCTCTGCTCTTTTTCTGTTCCTTTGGAAGATTTTCTTCTATCAACAGTGACTGGTAGACTCAGGCAAGATACTGATATCCTGTAAATCTCTTCAGTCAGCCAACGAGCGCAGTTTTCCCAGTTCATTGTCAGCTCCCTCCTGTCATATGTTATTGTTCTCTCTTTGAACTGCTTGCTACAAGTGAGCAGGTACGAGGTGGGAAGGGTTATAGCCTTAAAGGGACAGGCCTTTCATTTTCTATGTGTCTGCTGTCCATTTCTCCTGTAGGTGGCAGTAAAACCGTAGGTTTCTTATTATTAAGCTTTGTCACACAATGGACCCTGAGAAAAGGATTTTAAAGTGAGTACAAAAATCCTATTTTTACTTACATTTAGATGACATTTTGAGGACCCTGCATCTGGTTTTCTAAAAATTCTGTAATGTGTCATTGAAAGCAGAGACTGCAACGATTTAATGATAACATTTGTTCTTCTAAACAGGAATGTTCAAAGAGAGCAAATAATGGGAAATTCACACTGCGTGATCTTCTTGTTGTTCCTATGCAAAGGGTTTTGAAATATCACTTGCTGCTCCAGGTAAGCACTTAATTTGAAGATTCTGCACAACAAAGACAACATTTTAGACTCAGATGCCCATGGGGAGGCTAGTGCATCCTCAAAGGACTTAATACTCAGAGAAAAGATTTTGCTGTCTCAAATAATAGCTATGACCCAAAGTTTGAGACTGTGAGCAAAAGTATTTGGTAAATATTTAGGATACTATATATATTATTTTGTATCTGTATGTAGTTATTACAAGTTATGATAGTTTTCATTATACAAATATGAGCCTCTATCTCTGCAACTTTCTGTGTTGCTCACCTTCATCCAGCTTAGAATGAGAATGACCACACATAATTATTCGAGCTACTGTTTTTTTAGGTCCATGGGTGACTTTCATAGCTGCAGAATAGCACAGGCCAAAGGATAGAGGTAGGGGGAGCCAGAGCTACTGATACCATTACTTATGGGTCTCTAGTGTATAATTTTTCTTATATCAACCTTACAGATTCATCTGCTTAAAACTCTATACATTGCAAAGTGTTACAACACTGGTATGAGCCCATATTTTCCTTCTTAATGCAGGGATTCATTTACTGGTGCTCGCCTTTCTGTTTCACAGACACCCTGAAGACCACTAGGTAGAATATACCTCAATTAAGTAAATCATAGGATTCTTTTTAAATCAAAAGAAAACCTTACTTGGTAAAGTTGTCCATTCAAAATTCCTTCCACCCTGTCACAACATTTTGTTATCTGTTCATTAAGTGCAAAATAATACCTGTTGATCATTAAATAAATTCTGAGCTGTCCAACTATTGCAAAGATGACTCATACCCGTAAGTCAGCTGAGCTCCTCAGGCTATTCAGCTGTGTTCCAGGAGGTTCTCAGCAATCATGCAACAGTTTAGAGAGAATTTAGAGACAGTTTAGGGACAGAAATATATAGAGACAGTATTTAGGAATGAAGCATAAACTAAGGGGTCTATTCACAAAGCTGCCGAAGGATCTGGCTGTAGCTTCGGCCGATCCTATTCCGTTTGAGTTTTTGGTATCAATTTATTAAAAGATGAAATTAATGGTAAAAGCTGCGCTGTGTGAATGAGACCGCAAAGTGTCAGATATAGTAGATACTGACCTTGGAGTAATGTGATACAATGTGTAAAAAGACTAGACTATTGAAGATCCAGGATCATGGACATTTTTTAACCATTTACTATTTTCACTGGAGTGCAAGTTACACACATGCGTTTTTCTTGTTGGTATTGTTTGCACATTGCATCACATTGATTCAGGGTTAATATTTAGTGCATTTGATTTTTCATTATGGATATTTTGTAGCAATTACATTTACACTAAGGTGCATGTTATATACATGCGTTTCTTTTTTGTTTTGCACTTTTTACACATTGTATCACATTACTCCAAGGTCAGTATCTACTATATCTGACA